CCCTCGAGGCCCTTCCAGCCATGGTCAGACCGTTCTAGCCGGCTAGGGTGTATTTGGGTTTCTGATGGACGCGACATTTATCCTTGATTTCACCACAGCACAAGCTATTAAAAACTGCACTGATTTTGGTAACGTCTGTTCAAAATGTATCGCTAGCAAGTTTAAAAGGTAGTAGACGTCACAAACAACATTTTCATGTAGTCCGAAGACTTTTATTATAAACTCACAGAACGTTTTGAAACAGGTTTTACAACTCCATCTTCATAAAAGTCCACAGTTTTACAAACTCACAAGTGTTATTAAGCTCAAGATAGGCCACTTTCACAAGATTATCTTGATGCACGGTTTTCACAGACTTGATATACTGACAAGCACTTTAAGGTTATGAGCAGTTTTTTTGTTTTGTTTTATAAATAAACAGTTTTTAGAACATCTTCAAGAAATCTACAGACAATTTTTAGGTCCAAAACATTTTCACAAATTCCTCGGTAACTGAAAGTAAAGAAAATGAAAAACACATAGTCAGCATAAAAGTTATTCACTATAGTCTTAGGAAAGTTAGTTTGCAATTGGAAAGGTTGTGCAGATTCTTTTTGTTGATCAGTAGAAAGCATGGAAGATTGGTTCATGTTACAGCTCTCGTAAGGTCTCGCATGAATGGCTTGAAACCCTTTGAGAGAACAATAGATCAAACAACAGAAACAATGCCCCTAGCCCCAAAACAATAACTGCAGCTGCAATGACGACAAATAGAATTACAAGCTTACGAGAGCTGCTATAATACCGAAGATTATCTATCTTAACTATCCTCGTTGAACGTCAAGAGCATGTTCGAGCCTTGAGTGGTCCGTATAACCACTGTACTAGTAGCCTGCACAGGGTAACGTTTGTGTCGCAAAAGAACGAACCGGCGATAGCATGAACCTTGTTCACGCCTCGTCGCCGCTGGTGCGTGTGATTCCCAAACGAGATCCTCAGTCCCAGAAAGAAATGTTGGGGCACCAAGTACCAAGCAAGTTGCCCTCTCGCTCTTGCCTGCTACTTTCGTCTGCGATTGTTGCTTACAGGCTAGGCTCTAAAGCGACTAGACTATCCATTAACTTTACCCCGTACATCATGTTCAACTCGCACCGAATTTAAGNTAGCCAGCATTTCGCTGTTGACCCTAAGGATTATATGTAAGGGTGTCTTTAATTAGTATTCGCCATGCAATAACACTTTATCATCCTGGACGGAGAGAAGCAGTACGAGAGTAACAGGTATCGATCGCAAACATAACATAACTCCCAAGACAAGGATCCAGAAACCACTGGACTATCCATTAACTTTACCCCGTACATCATGTTCAACTCGCACCGAATTTAAGTTGCCACCAGACTAATCTGACATGCGCTGTAAAATTCAGTTCCTATGCAATAGATTCCAGAGCTTTGGTTGCCATACACTGAACTTTTAATTGACAATTTTCGTATTCTCGGTATTGGACTTAAACTAGCTTGCAAAGGAGGTTCATGCGGGGAAATATCACTAAAAAGAGATTGATGTCATTTGCATTTGAGAAGACTTCTCGCATTAGCCTCGGTTTCAAGCTAGTTCCAGTCTAATACCGAGAACACCGAGAGTATGAATATCGTCTATTAGTATCACCCAACTAGTGAACGAATGCAAATCCTGCATTTTAACTGGCTGCGCTACTAGAGGACTATTAGTAATAGTCCTCGAGTGGCAAAATTGGCGCAATCGAGCGTGACGCTTTCTTTTGTTTTATACCCAAATGAAGATTTCTTCAACTTGCATTTGCAAACTTTATTATTGCCTTTTCTGTCCGACTAGTTGGGTGATATTAAAACAATTAGACCCTTCGCCCTCAAGGGCCACGGGTCAATAGAGCATTCAGCTTCGCTTGGTGGGCTATTGACCCGTAGCCCTTGCGGGCTACGGATCTATAATTGTTAATTAAGATAACATATTAGATACAGGTACCTCAGTTTCAAACATGGAGTCTTAATCATCATCTTCAAACTTGATCCCAGGCAGCCTCATCATCGCTGTCGAATACAAGCCCAGACAAGCCCCTAACCAGTGAACAATTAAATCCAGATAGCTGAATCTTAAAATAATGCATACATGACTTGTGATTACAAATGAACCTTGATCAGCTTAAACTCCACGTTATCTCGTATACTCAAATTATTTTCCCTTCGATATTGGCTTTTTCTCAGTCATTTGCTACCAGCCCCAACTATCCGTTCGAACTAGTTTTTGTTATATTGAGAGGTTCAACTATATTGGTAGGTTCAAGTGTAATCTAATATATAGATAAGACTTGAGGGAAGCTTTTAATCATAA